AACCACAGAGCTGTGCATGGAAACGCTGTTTACCTTCCCACCAGAGCGGTACCTATTTATCTACTTGTACTTTGATGTGCTTTTGAACTGCTAGGTTGGCAGGAGCAGGGACCAAGCAACGGGAGCTCACCCTGTCGCGGGGATTCGAACCGCCGACCTTCTGATAGGCAAGTCCTAGGCTCTGTGGTTTAACCCACAGCGCCACCCGCGTCCCATAATCTGAGGTAGACTGCATCTGATCCTGAGGTTCCATCTTGTCCTGTTAAGACACCTTTTGACAGCCGCAACTGCTCTCTCACGCACACCCCCGTCATCTCATGACATAATCCCATGTGGCATTTTGAAAAGTTTATTGGCCAGTACCACATCCTTGCCCTCAGAGAGGTTCTGCCCTTTTAAGCTGGCTCCTTTCATATGTTTTGTTTTTTTAAAAAGACGAAGGAGCTTTTACAAAAGGTCATTCCATCCCCAGGGAACGTTTGAGAGTCTGCTCAAACACCGAATCTAAAAAGCCCATCTCCGATTAAACTTCGGGAAAGCTGGTGAATGCTTTTTAATTTATTTGTAGCCGAAATATACATATCTATACATATACATGAATGCATGTATGTAGAGAGAGGGATATGTTAAATCACACCTGGGACCTAAAATTGGTGAGCAGTCAGCTGCAACAGAAGAAACCTGAGTCAAAGCTGATAAGCGAATTGGAATTTCGTTCCATGCCTGAAAAGGAAGCCAGTCCCTTGCCAGGGATCTGATTTGCAGGAGAGTTTATCTCGGGCCGCTGCTAAATTTACCTCGGTCGCGTGAACTTGGAAAAAAGTGGGGGAGAACATCTCCCTTCCCTCCCCAATAGCTTGGAAGAAGTTAGGGTTACAAGAAGGGAGATTCCTGCAAGAGGAAATTCCGACGAAAGAAGAATGGCAGACAAAATTAACGGACTACGCAGAATTAGATAAAATGACAGGAAGGATTCGAAACCAGAGATTCACAGAAGATTGGAAGAAATATACGCACTATTTGAAGAGCGATTGTAATCAACAAGTTACGCTAGCAGGACTACAAGAAGTTTTGTAAGGAGAAATATATGAAACATTGCAAAGTAGAGAAAGAATAGAGGTATTCTTTATAAGATTTGAATGTAATAGTGAAAGTAAGAAAGGTAAATTAAGTGAATAGATTGGGAAATGTTCAGAGGTGGTTGGTGGAAGTCAAAAAAATTGTATAAGGTACAAAAGTATGTTTAATTATTGTTGGAAATGATGTGTTAAAAAACTAATAAAATTTATATAAAAAGGAAAAATGGGGGGGGGAGGAGATTCCGATTCAATGCTCGGAAGAAATTTCTGCCGGAAAGAGCCATTTGACAGTAGAACCGACTCCCTCGAGAAGCAGCAGGAACTTCCTACATTGGAAGACTGGCAGATAAAGATGGTAGAACATGTGGAGATGGCAAAGCTGATGGGGAAGATCCGGAATCAGCAAGATGAACTGTTTCAAAAGGACTGGAGCAAATTTATAGTCTATATGAAAGAAAACTGTAAACATTTGAAAACGTTTGTAGGTTTGAATTGAAATGCTTTGTAATGTGAAAAAATAAGGAACTGATTTACATATAAGGAGGTAATCTTTATAAAAAAAGAAGAAGTTTTAAGGTAAAAAAGTGGTTATAGAAATGCGAGAATTCAGTAAAAGATGTCTGGAAGTCAGAAAGAGGGAGGGAAGGAAGTCGATGCTCTGTTTGAGCAATGCTTTATGTCATAGATTTGTGCAATGAGATGTAATTAAATATGAAAACTCAATAAAAATTATTTTTTAAAAAATAGAGGTGGCAGACTCCCTCCTTCCTTGGAGGTTTTTTAAGCTGGATGGCCATCTCTCATGGATGCTTTAGCTGAGATTCCTGCATTCCAGGGGGTTGGACTAGATGACCCCTGGGTGCCCCTCCCAATTCTACAATTCTTTGATTCTATTTGTGTGACCTCGTGTTCAAATCTTTTCTGTTGTAGCGTAAGAATGCCAGCCGAAGCATAGAATCATAGAGGTGGAAGGGACCCCGAGAGTCATTCGTCCAACCCCCTGCAATGCAGGAATCTCGGCTGAAGAAGAACCCCAACAGGCCTGTTTTAAAAACATTCGGCCTCCGACAGTAGCCATTGCGGCCGGTGGCTGCTCCAGCCAGAGCAAAGCAACCACAGCCAAGAAGAGCCTTGCGCCACCTGAAAGCTCGCACATTCAGTTGTGTGGGCTAGCCTTGAACTCGCCTTGTCGGTTGTGTGAATCCCCAGTTTTGCTGCCTTTGCTGAGCTGTAACTTACCAGGAAGTCTGAATCTATTAAACGTAAAAGGCCCCTGACCATTAGGTCCAGTCGTGGCCGACTCTGGGGTTGGGGCGCTCATCTCGCTTTATTGGCCGAGGGAGCCGGCGTACAGCTTCCGGGTCATGTGCCCAGCATAACTAAGCCACTTCTGGCGAACCAGAGCAGTGCACAGAAACGCCGTTTACCTTCCCGCCAGAGCGGTATCTATTTATTTACTTGCACTTTGAAGTGCTTTCGAACTGCTAGGTTGGCAGGAGCAGGGACTGAGCAACAGGACTCACCCCGTCACGGGGATTCGAACCGCCGACCTTCTGATCGGCAAGTCCTAGGTTCTGTGGTTTAACCCACAGCGCCACCCGCGTCCCTTGAATCTATTAATCTAGGCCCAAATCAAGACAACAGGTTTTTCCCCCTCCCACCTCTAACAGATGGGCATTAACAGGATGGTTAAGTTAGCGCCAATTTCTGCTGCTGTAAATGGTCACTTTGCATACCTTGTGAGCATTTGAGCTTTATAGGGGATTGTCAACAGGCTATTTGGGGGGGGGGGGGCGGATTTCTATCTAGCCTCGCTATTTACATTTCCTCTCCCTCTCTCTACACCCACGTGCTATGTGTATAAATGCCCACCAACATGATGAAGTTCACTCCTTTACTCCATAAGACCATAAGAAGAGTCTGCTGGATCAGGCCAATGGCCCATCTAGTCCAGCGTCTCACGCCGGCCAAATGACCCCCAAAGAACCTAAGAATCAAGATAGACTGCCTCTGGACCTGGAGGTTCCATAAGGACGTCAGAAGAGCAATGGCTTCCTTCGCATGTTCCTGAAAGACTTCAGTGCAGGCACCAGGCTGAATTTTGTCATGAGAACATAAAAAGAGCTTGAGGGGATAAGGGCAATGGTCCATCTCTCCATCAGGCAAGGAAGCTCCCTGCCGCTGCTGAGTCAGTGTCTGGGCTGCTGCCATGGGCTGGGCAGGGGCCAGGAAGCTGAGACTGGGTCTTGACAGACAAAGGGAACTGGGAAGTTATTTTTTGAGGGATTTCTTGTGAAAATAAGAAGAGCCCGCTGGATCCGGCCCGCCCAGTCCAGCACCCTGGTCTCACAGAGGCATGTGGGGAAACCAGCAAAGAGGATACAAGCACAAGATCAATCTCTCCTCCTGAGGTTTCCAGAAACTGAGATTCAGAAGCATTGTTCCCTCACAGCGGTGGAGCAAGTTGATCGGGCGCCTGGGATGGTGCGTGTGCCCTGCGCCCAGAGGTGGGGCTAATAATAATAATAATAATAATAATAATAATAATAATAATTTATTATTTATATCCCGCCCATCTGGCTGGGTTTCCCCAGCCACTCTGGGCGGCTTCCAACAGAATATTAAAATACCGTAATACATCAAACATTAAAAGCTTCCCTAAAGAGGGCTGTCTTCAGATGTCTTCTAAAAGTCTGGTAGTTGTTGTTCTCTTTGACATCTGATGGGAGGGCGTTCCACAGGGCGGGCGCCACCACCGAGAAGGCCCTCTGCCTGGTTCCCTGTAACTTGGCTTCTCGCAGTGAGGGAACCGCCAGCAGGCCCTTGGTGCTGGACCTCAGTGTCCAGGCAGAACGATGGAGGTGGAGATGCTCCTTCAGGTATACTGGGCCTTTGAGGCCATTTAGGGCTTTAAAGGTCAGCACCAACACTTTGACTTGTGCTTGGAAACGTCCTGGGAGCCAGCCAGGGCAGGATGTCCGTGGGACTTGACAGGAGTCTTGCCTGCCTCCTCCCACCCCACCGCCCTACAGCTGAGGGGGAACGGTGGACGGCCTAGGACCCTCGTACCTACGGGACCACCTCTTCTGGTATGTCCCACAGAGGACCTTACGGTCTTCAAACAAAAACATCTTGGAGATCCCGGGCCACAGGGAGGTTAGGCTGGCCTCAACCAGAGCCAGGGCCTTATCAGTACTGGCCCCGACTTGGTGGAACGCTCTGTCCCAAGAGACTAGGGCGCTGCGGGACTTGACATCTTTTCTCAGGGCCTGCAAGACAGAGCTGTTCCACCAGGCCTTTGGCCAAGGCACAGCCTGACCCCTTCCTTTGTTAATCCTCATAGACCTCTAGCCCAACGGTTGCCATTGATTTGATTCTGAATTGATTTTAGAATGAATTGATTTTAGAATGTATTTCAATTAATTGACTATGATTTTATGTAAACTGTGCTATTTTTACTGTTGTTAGCCCGCTCTGAGGCCGGCTTTGGCTGGGGAGGGCGGGATATAAATAAAATTTTATTATTATTATTATTTGGGCAGCAAGCGCCCAAGCCACTGCATCACTCCAAGGGGAGACACGTGGCTCGGGCTTGCTGCAGGCCCTGTGGTGAGTGCCGGCCGCCATTTTGTCAGCCCCCTCAGTGCTGACACCCGGGGCGGCCCGCTCCCCACCGCCCCCCTTCCTCCACCCCTGCTTCCTCCGACTGTGGCAGCTGAGCATCGCCATCCTGGCTAGTAGCCATCGATCGGCTTCTCCTCCTCTGTGAATTTCCCAATCTGCTTTAGAAAGCATTGAAGTTGGTGGCCTGTGGCAGGGAGTTCCGTAGTTTCTTTCCATCTGCCCTGAACCTTCCAACATTCAGCTTCACCGAACGCCCACGAGTTCTAGTGTTAGGAAAGGAGGGAAAAACCTCTTTCTGTCCTGCCATAGCTCGGTTGGTAGAGCACGAGGCTCTTAATCTTGGAGTCACGGGTTCAAGTCCTGCGTCGGGCAAAAGATTCCTGCATCGCAGGGGGCTTGGATTAGATGACCCTCAGGATCCCGCCCACCTCTACAGTTCTATGATTCAGTTATTCTATCCGCTTTCACCATGGCAGGCCCAGTTTTGCAGACATCTGTCATGTCAGGAGAACAGGATGTTGTGCTAGTTTTCTCCACAATAAAGCTGTTCGTTTCTCACCTGGAGGACGTCCGGCTAAGACCTCTGAGAAATGCAATCACATGCAGAGCTTAAGCACACTTTCCACGCACCATTCGTGATTTAAGCCTCAGTGTCTGAGCACCCTGGTTTTGCCCCAGAGCTTTCCCCATGAAATCCTGCGCTTTGCTGCTAAACCAGAGGAAACAGCTAGAAACCTGAATTGCTGTTTGTTGTGCTTCAGTGGCGAAAAAGAGTGCTTGGATCTGGGCAAAATGGATATGCCTTTTAAGATGATTTAAAGAAAAATGGTTTAAAGAAAAAATCTAGACAGCATCTTAAAAAGTAGAGACAGCACCTTGCCAACAAAGGTCCGTATAGTAAAAGCTATGGTTTTCCCAGTAGTGATGTATGGAAGTGAGAGCTGGACCATAAAGAAGGCAGATCGCCGAAGAATTGATGCTTTTGAATTATGGTCTGGAGGAGACTCTTGAGAGTCCCATGGACTTCAAGAAGATCAAACCTATCCATTCTGAAGGAAATCAGCCCTGAGTGCTCACTGGAAGGACAGGTCCTGAAGCTGAGGCTCCAAGACTTTGGCCACCTCATGAGAAGAGAAGACTCCCTGGAAAAGACCCTGATGTTGGGAAAGATGGAAGGCACAAGGAGAAGGGGACGACAGAGGACGAGATGGTTGGACAGTGTTCTCGAAGCTACCAGCATGAGTTTGACCAAACTGCGGGAGGCAGTGGAAGACAGGAGTGCCTGGCGTGCTCTGGTCCAGGGGGTCATGAAGAGTCAGACATGACTAAACGACTAAACAACAACAAAGAAAAATATCTCCCTCTCGCTCTCAATCTCCTCTTGAGTTAGGTTGGCCACAACCCTCTTACATTTCGAACAGGTCTGTCCAGTTAGGGCTGGGGGGGGGGGAAATCCCTTCCTGTAAACCAGCGGTCCTCAACCTGTGGGTCCCCAGATGTTTTGGGACTACAACTCCCATCATCCCTGACCACTGGTTATGCTGGCTAGGCATGATGGGAGTTGTAGTCCAACAACATCTGGGCACCCACAGGTTAAGAAACACTGCGTAACCCTGAAGAGATGCTGGAGAGTTGAAGAAGACTGAGTGAAAAGGACCCAAGGGCCCGATGTGGTGAAAAGCATCTCCCTCTCTTCCTCTTTAAATCAGCCGTCTGTTCACTAGCACCTTGCTTTCTCTCCTGCGCAATAGTCCAGTGAGAGAGCCCCAAGTGGGAGGTTCCAGGTTTGATTCCCAGCATCTAAGCCTGAAACCCTGCAGAGCCTCTGCTGGCCCGTGTAGGTAATATTGAGCTAGGTAGAGCAAGGGTCTCTTGGTTCAAGGCAGCTTCTGATATTCCTGTGTACCAGCAGCATTTTGCAGACCTCGAAAGCCTTTATTTTCTGACCACGGCTCTTCTACGTGAAAGCCTATTTCTCCCGAACACATTACCTGCTCTGCTTCGTCAGAGCTCCGCTTTGGCGTTTTCTTTCTTTTTATTTCACAGTATTCAATACGATTATCTTTATTGTCATTGTCCCATACAGAACAACGAAATTGAAAAAATCTACATCAGACATTCAAAAACCAACAAGCCTGCTATCCCAGCTATCGCAACCTGGTTAGCCCCCTAAAAACTCCAATACCCCATTTTTAAATACAATATACTGCCATAGAGACTACCTTAAAGGTAAAGGTAAAGGGACCCCTGACCATTAGGTCCAGTCGTGGCCGACTCTGGGGTTGCGGCGCTCATCTCACTTTATTGGCCGAGGGAGCCGGTGTACAGCTTCCGGGTCATGTGGCCAGCATGACTAAGCCGCTTCTGGTGAACCAGAGCAGCGCATGGAAACGCCGTTTACCTTCCCGCCAGAGCGGTCCCTATTTATCTACATGCACTTTGACGTGCTTTTGAACTGCTAGGTTGGCAGAAGCAGAGACCGAGCAACGGGAGCTCACCCCGTCGCGGGGATTCGAACCGCCCACCTTCTGATCGGCAAGCCCTAGGCTCTGTGGTTTAACCCACAGCGCCACCCGCGTCCCTGGAGACTACCTTACACTGCGTTTAAAACCAAAATCGCATTTGGATTATTCTCTGCTATTTCCTCCTAAAGTATTATTATTATTATTATTATTATTATTATTATTATTATTATTATTACAATCGTCGGCATCATCACCTGGGTGCAAAGGTGTGGACAATTCCAAATGAACAAACCACTCCCTGTTCTTTTAGGTAGAGTGTGGGATGTCCACTCCTCAGATTTTGAGTCATTATCCTCTCTTGACTCCTTGAGAGTTTTGCCTAGGAGGGTGGAAGGCTGGGGTGTGTTGTTGGTTGTTGTTGGTTGTTGTTGTTGTCACACACCTCTTTGCCCTGCCCTTTGACACCTGAGATAGACATTTACAGGATCCACCCTAGTCCCCCAACTGCTTTCAATACAGTCGTACCTCGGAAGTCGAACAGAATCCATTCCGGAAGTCCGTTCGACTTCCAAAACGTTCGGAAACCAAGGCGCAGCTTCCGATTGGCTGCAGGAAGCTCCTACAGCCAATCGGAAGCTGCGGAAGCCCCGTCGGACGTTCAGGTTCCAAAGAACGTTCGCAAACTGGAACAATCATTTCTGGGTTTGCAGCATTCGGGAGCCAAAACATTCAACTCGCAAGGCATTTGGGACCCAAGGTACGACTGTATTGAATTCTAAATTGCTGTAACCTGCCCTGCAATTGGATGGAGAAGGGTAGACAAGAAATAATGGCGATGATGACATGGTATTATTATCAACAATAATAACTGAAATAACTAATATTGATGAATTCTTAATAATATCTTACAATCACTAGTAATTAATAATCATTTATAGTAAATAATAAACACAGATAATAATAACTAGTAATATTTATTATTACTGTAAGTAAGAAAAACAACGTTTTGTAGAGGTTGCAGATCGCAATGGATTAGTCTGCAAGAAGAGTTCCTCCTTTCCCCAGTCCTAAATTCAGTTCGTCACACGCCTTCATGTGCCCACATTAGTTTTGTTTCTTAAGCCCTCGCGAAAATTCACCAGCATTTTTGTGCATATTTTTTGCACTCAAAAAAAAGCACACCTTTTGACACGCAGTTTCTGCTGACGTGATTTTGTAGACTCCTCTGGCTAATGCATGCACTTTGTGGACACTTCACCACCACCACCCCAAAAAAATGTACGCATTTTTTCACTTTTTTGGGTTGACTGGTTTGTTGTACAGCTGCATTGCAAAATTCAGAGAAGGGCAATGTCAAACGATAGTTGTGTTCCTGTTCTGTCTTGGGAAGCGTCATGCAGGAAGCGAAGGCTAAATTCCTCCCCTGTGCCAGGTCAGGAATAGCAAAGTATATGTTGTTCTATAAGACATTTCTTAGCTCTGGACTAAATGAATTATTATTATTATTATTATTATTATTATTACGATGATGATGATGACGACGACTTACATTTGTATTCCACCTCTCCTTCAAGGAGCTCACGGTGGCTTACATACTTCTCTATTTTATCCCGCCCTGTGGAACGCCCTCCCACCAGATGTCAAAGAGAAAAATAACTACCAAACTTTTAGAAGACAAGTAAAGACAGCCCTGTTTAGAGAAGCTTTTAATGTTTAACAGGTTATTGTATTTTAGTGTTTTGTTGGAAGCCGCCCAGAGTGGCTGGGGAAACCCAGCCAGATGGGAGGGGTATAAATAATAATAATAATAATAATAATAATAATAATAATAATATTTATTATTACTACTATTATTATTATCTGCACAACAACCCTGCGAGGGAGGCTGAGCTGAGAGAGGCAGTGTCTGGCCCAAGCAAACACCCAGTAGCCTACTGGGGCTTCGAACCCTGGTCTCCCCCAAGTCCTAGTCTTCATTTAATTCCCACAACCCTGCGAGATTGCTTAGGCTGAGGTCACTCAGTGAGCTTCAGGGCCAAGTGGAGATTCGAACCCTGCTCTCCCGGGTCCTAGACCAACACTCTAACCACTAAGCCACACTGGCTCTGGAACGGGAGCAAAGTCTTTGCAAATGCCCTTCAGGGGCACGTCTGCAGCAGAGGAAGTAGCCGTCGATTCCGTCCGAACGCTGATCACTTGGGGGTTTGTTTGTTTGTGCAAAACGAGTCGGGGCTGCTCTGTTTATTTGGGGGAGAATTATGCTCTAGCCACCCACAAACGGTTGATAACAGGGGCTCAACTGCACCTTGTCCCAACAGAGGGGAAATCCACCCGGCGGCAAAAGAGCAGAAATTATCAAGGTGAAGACTTACCGCCGCTCCCAGTCCAAGCTTGGGGCAAAACTTGCAGGAAGAGAACAGCAAGGAGCATCTTGCAATGCCAGAAGACAGGTGGATGAGGATTTTTTAAAAAATAGATGGATGTTCTCTGGTCCAAAAAATAATAATAATTGCCTTTTTATGCTTCCTTCCACTGTGGCTTCCCAGTCTGCGCAAAGGTATATTCAGTTCCCCGAAACAGAATGGGTTCAGATGGATGTCCAGGTCACCACGGATGAGATCTGCCTTCTTTTGCCTTTTTACCTTGTCCTCTCCCAGGGAGTCATCGGAGCCACTTTGCCAACCACCACAAAAAAAACCCTGGACGTTTTTTATTTTGTTTTTAAGGTAGCTCTGAGCGACAGAGGGAGTTTGCCCGCCGCCCGAGGTCCCTGCTCCTTAAATACGTCGTCCACAGAAGTCTGTGGAGTCCCAACGGTGTTTGGACAAGGCGAGAGAGAGAGAGAGAAAGGGGACGGGGGAAGGGGGGCTGGAATTTGGCCGCTGTTCAGGTCTGTGCCAGCCAAGTCCCTCTGCAAGAGGCCGGCCGCTTTGATCCGCTGGTCCTAACAGAGGAGACGGGCTGGAGTGGGGGACGTGGGAAAGGGACGGTTCTGGCGGTGATTATAAAATGGCCAAAGCGAGTCCGGGGCCAGGGACTCGTTTGCCTGCACCAGGAGCCTGTTAGGACGCCTGTAATGTAACAATGAAGGCAAGGGTTCCACTGAGCATACACAGAATGCCCTGGAGCGCAAAGGTTCCAGTTGTCACTGTCTCCCTTGTCCCTGAGCATATGGGGCACCTTCTATCTAAAAGGTCAGTGCCCTACAGAGCCCTGACACTGTGCCTCAGCCGTCTGAGTTAAATGGCAGAGTCACTTCACCTAGAGGAAATTGGCCAGTTACTATCTGCCACGTGGCATTACGGTCAAGGGTCTGAGGGTCGGGGTTTGGCGGTGGTAGGGAGCAGCTGCTTTGCATGCAGAAGGCCCGAGCCTGATGGAGCCCAGGGACTGATTTGGTGAAAAACATCTTCCTACCTTCTTCTCAGGGGACGCGGGTGGCGCTGTGGGTTAAACTACAGAGCCTAGGACTTGCCGATCAGAAGGTCAGCAGTTCGAATCCCCGCGACGGGGTGAGCTCCCGTTGCTCGGTCCCTGCTCCTGCCAACCTAGCAGTTCGAAAGCACGTCAAAGTGCAAGTAGATAAATAGGTACCACTCTGGCAGGAAGGTAAACAGCGTTTCCGTGCGCTGCTCTGGTTTGCCAGAAGCGGCTTAGTTATGCTGGCCACATGACCCGGAAGCTGTCTGCAGACAAACGCCGGCTCCCTCGGCCTATAGAGTGAGATGAGAGCGCAACCCCAGAGTCGGTCACAACTGGACCTAATGGTCAGGCGTCCCTTTACCTTTTTACCTTCTCAAATCAAAACCATGAGGACTAGACTCTTACTTTTGCAGGAAGATGTCGAGAGAGCACCTGCCCTGAACGCAGAAGGGGCCAGGTTCAATCGCCAGCGGCTTCTCCCGGTAGGGCAGGGAAGGTCTCCTGCCCAAAAGCCTGGAGAGCCTCTGCTGCCAGTCAGTGCTGGTAATGCTAGATGCTAGATGGAACAATTGGTCCCGGACACATTGTTGATGTCAGCCAACAGCTTCCTGCATTCCTACACAACGCAGAACTGAAACCCGGACTCTGGCAAAGTGGCATCTGGTCCACAAAAGCTTATGGATGCTCAAATGTGTTTGCTTTTTTCTTTTAAGGCGTCTGTTGTACCACAAGGCTCTTTCTCGGTTTGGCTCTCCGGAGGCCTGGAAGGCAGCGAAGATGACCAAAGAAGAACGCAATGTGGAGGCCAGCCAAAAACAGAGGCTGTGGGAGACTTCTCAAAGCTGTTTGTCGGCCTCGACAATGTGTCCAGGACGGATGTCAGCCCCTTCTGCACCTCTGTGACGAGCATCAGTCTTCAAAATAAATATCTGAAGGGAGCGTAAGGAGGATTAAGGTGGCTAGCACTGCGCTCCGACACAGATGCTTTTATTTATTACCAGGTTTAACTGCTTTCGCAGTTGGGGTTGCAAATATCGACATTTGCAAACCACCCAAAATACTTAGCTACATGGGTGGTAAACAGACAAACGTGCTCCTTCGAGGGACCAAACTGTGGAACTCCCTGCTGCAGGAAATCACCAAATTAGATGGCTTTAAAAAAGGGGATCAAATTTGGAGAGTGTAAGGCAATCAGTGGCTGCTTAGCTTGAGAGGGATTTACTCTGCCCAAGTAAGCATGCACCACTTAAGCGTTTTTAAATTCCACTGATTTCAGTGTTTATTCCTAAAGAAATCTTTCCATTTCTTTGAAGGCTTCCAGACTGGTGTCTATTTATGAGGTGGGGGGCTTCCCATTCGTGAAAGTGTGTTTGTAGCAATCACGTGCCGCCTTGCTTGCATCGAAACTCTAGCCTCCCCACCCCCCCCTTTGCATTTAATCTGGGTTTTACCCTTTCTGGGAGCAATCCAGTAATCCCTTTCTGGAAGGTCAATGCTACCCTCATGATCAGAGGCAGCCTTGCTGTGAATATTAGTTGTGAGTTAGCAATAGCAGGAGAGGGCAGTTCGACACCTCGCCCTTCTTGTGGGCTTCATAAGAACGTAAGGACTCCCTTCAGCTGGTTCAGGCCAAAGGGGTGTGGGAAATTGCAGTTAAACATAATTTGCAAGCATAGAGCTAGTTAAGGCACGAAAGGGTTAAGACCACAGAGCTGCATTGCTAGAGACACACCCCCTCGCCTCCATTGAGGGAGGAAGTGAATCTTCTTTCCTTATTCTTCTTTGTGCCATGTAACATACCAGGAAGGACATGTCTGATCTTGAAACTAACTTTCTATATATTGTATCCAAGAGTATTCTACCTGTGTTCTCCTTGCTGCCACGTGGAATGATGCATGAACCAGACCTTTGGATTTTGCAAGTAAAACTTTTAAACTTACTTAAGAGTGTGGTCTGTTCATTGTGACGGGGGAAGCACGTAAGCAAGCTAAATGGGGTATGTAAAAGGGTCCAACAGCCTATTATTCCCCTGCATGGCATTATGACTGTTTTAAATTCTGCAAGGGGTTCTCTCCCATGGGAGTTTGTGCTAAGACCAATCTAGGCGTCCAGCCGATTCTTTTATTAATTACAGTCATACCTCGGGTTACAGCTGCTTCAGGTTGCGTTTTATCAGGTTGCGGACCTGCCGAAACCTGGAAGTACTGGAATGGGTTACTTCCGGGTTTCGGCGGTCACACATGCGCAGAAGCACTAAATTGCGCTTTGCGGATGTGCAGAAGCACCGAATCGCAACCCACACATGCGCAGACACGGGTTGTGAACGCTGCGGGTTGCGAACGTGCATCCTGCACGGATCACATTCACAACCCGAGCGTCCACTGTACTCCATACGGGTGAGCTAAATATATTTACCTCCATCGGGGGCGCACATAATAATAATAATAATAATAATAATAATAATTTATTATTTGTACCCCGCCCATCTGGCTGGGTTTCCCCAGCCACTCTGGGCGGCTTCCACAGAGACCAAAAATACACTAAAATGTCACACATTAAATACTTCCCGGAACAGGGATGCCTTAAGATGTCTTCTGAATGTCAGGTAGTTGTTTATCGCTTTGACATCTGGTGGGAAGGCGTTCCACAGGGCGGGCGCCACTACCGAGAAGGCCCTCTGCCTGGTTCCCTGTAGCTTTGCTTCTCACAGGGAGGGAACCGCCAGAAGACCCTCAGAGCTGGACCTCAGTGTCCGGGCAGAACGATGGGGGAGGAGACGCTCGTTCAGATATACTGGACTGAGGCCGTTTAGGGCTTTCAAGGTCAGCACCAACACTTTGAAATGTGCTCAGAAACGTACTGGGAGCCAATGTAGGTCTTTCAAGACCGGTGTTATGTGGTCTCGGCGGCCGCTCCCAGTCACCAATCTAGCTGCCGCATTCTGGATTAGTTGTAGTTTCCGGGTCACCTTCAAAGGTAGCCCCACGTAAAGCGCATTGCAGTAGTCCAAGCGGGAAATAACTAGAGCATGCACCTAGTTCAGGATCCTCTTCTCACAGTGACCAACCTGCGGGAAACTCTTGAGCAAGATTTGAGCACAAAAGCAACACTCTCCACCAACTGTGATTCAGAAGCATTTCCTGCTTTCTTGCAGAGAAAGGTCGTTGTGGCTGATAGCCATCAATAGTCCTTTCCGCACACAGAGAGATTCACACAGAGACGCACAAGGTGAGCTCCTCCGAGGTGGCAGATTCACCAGCTCTCAAAAATAAATGCGTGGACCTCCTGAGGTGTAGGAATCACGCCAGGCTCTGCTGCCCATGAGGCATTTTGGCATGGCCACGGCGGCTGGATCCTGGACACGTCATGTTGTAACATTAGCCGTGGCCTCTTCAGGATTTGAACTGTACCCTTGTCAAGTCAGCTCCCTGACAGACCAAACATTGCGGGCCGGAGTCCTGCTCTATTCATAGGCCTGCTCTTCACCGCTGCAAACGGAGTCACGGTCACAGTGCCCTGATTTCTCCACCGCAAGCAGTTTGCTTACCTTCCGTTAGGTTTTACCTGCATCCTGCTACCACCTCCCCTTTCAACAATGCGATGTCAATATAAACTCTTTATACAAGCTATACAGAACGTTGAACAATATGAAATATATGAAATATGCACTCTCTGCAAAACCAAATACAGTTGTACCTCGGGTTAAGTACTTAATTCGTTCCGGAGGTCTGTTCTTAACCTGAAACTGTTCTTAACCTGAAGCACCACTTTAGCTAATGGGGCCTCCTGCTGCTGCTGCGCCGCCGGAGCACGATTTCTGTTCTTATCCTGAAGCAAAGTTCTTAACCTGAAGCACTGTTTCTGGGTTAGCGGAGTCTGTAACCTGAAGTGTATGTAACCTAAAGTGTATGTAACCCGAGGTACCACTGTCAACAAAACCAAATAAACAGAAATCTTCTAAATCTGTGAAAGTCACAAAATGTGCACTCTTGATGGATTCTCCTGAAAACCTAGAACCAAATGAACAGGTGTCTTATAGGTCTCTGAAAGTGTGTGTTGGGCTATGCAAGTCTCTGAGAGGAGCAATGGGTCAGATTCTTATCTGGTGAAAACAAGCCGTTAAAGCTTTGTTTTATGACGTCCAACGCTGCCGAAGTGGTCCGCAAACAGACGTAGTGAACAGTGATTCTGGATATCCCCCCTGTTTCGTGGAATTCTTCTTCAGCACAGCAGAAGGATACAGAAATGCCTTATAGCAATTGCTGTTATTGTTAAGTTGTGGGTGAACATATCAGACGACACAGCGATTCTTCAAACAGCTCTTGTTTATTCAGAGGCCAGAACAGAATTGAACTGAAGGGTTCAATCAGCCTGCTTATATAGAGCTCCACTACAACGTAACTGTAACAATTTTCTAAAACTATCCAATCACTGAACGTCACTTTCGATCCCTTATTTGCATAACTATCTACGGTATCCCCCTGCTGGCCCAGGGTGAGAACTTCAGTACATAACAGTTATACAGTTCCATTCACCATATAGATGGGATTATGAAGCATTTCTGTAGGTTCTAGGTTTTTCAAGAGAATCCATCAAGAGTGCGTATTTTGTGACTTTCAGAGATTTAGAAGATTTCTGTTTATTTGGTTTTGCAGAGAGTGCATATTTCATATATTTCGTATTGTTCAGTGTTCTGTATAGATTGTATAAAGAGTTTATATTGACATCGCATTGTTGAACTTGGTCATCGTGTTGCCATTGGATATTACTGATATTTGTTTGCAACATAGGGGTTTGTTTGATTGTTTGGTTACCACCTCCCCTTTGTCGGAACAGCAGGGAGGGGAGAGTTTTAGTGGGACGAGAGCCGGTGTGGTGTGGTGTAATGTGTTCGAGTGCCGGGCTAGGACCTGGGAGAGACCAGGGTTCGAGTTCTCCCACATGGCCATGAAGTTCTCGCTGGGTATGGCCTTGGGGGGCCCAGTCGTTGCCTCTCAGCCTGACCTACCTCACAGGGTTGTTGTGGCGACCAGGGAAAGGAGAGAACCATGTTTGCCCCCTGGAGCTCTTCAAGGAAAAAAGTGGGGCTTGAATGTAGTTAACAACAACCACCTTTCGGCTGCGTCTAGGCGCGGGCAAATCTGTCAATTCCGTTTTCTCTCAAAATCTCTTTTTAATTATTGACTTCAATTCTCCACATGACCAAATTAGTTTGCGATTTTATTAATCGTTAAAAATAATAGTCATTCAAAACCATGAAAATTTATTAGTATTTCAGTACCAATGCCTGCACACACAAACACTTGCTTGCAATTTTACCAACATTGCAGTTTTGCAAAGTAATGCTGCCTAATATCGTTCAGTTCCTGTATGTTGCTTTCCCTAAAAATTGCATTTTAGGCGCGCTCAAACCTAGTCTGCATTGTTCATATTGCACAGGCCTTTTTTTCTCTTTTTAACTGGTCAGTACAGTGGTACCTCAGGTTAAGTACTTAATTCGTTCCGGAGGTCCGTTCTTAAGCTGAAAGTGTTCTTAACCTGAAGCACCACTTTAGCTAATGGGGCCTCCTGCTGCCGCCGTGCCGCCGGAGCACGATTTCTGTTCTCATCCTGAAGCAAAGTTCTTAACCTGAAGCACTATTTCTGGGTTAGCGGAGTCTGTAACCTGAAGCATCTGTAACCTGAAGCGTATGTAGCCCGAGGTACCACTGTATTCAATGAATGTTTTTGTGGGTGCCGTTCTTAAAATTTGTAACATGTGGGACTCAGCTCACCCACCTAGAAATATACTTTGACCTTCCTGTTCCTCCATCCCCATCCCCCACGCCTAAAAATATAATTCTGGTGCTGCCCCTACCGCCGTTCCCTTCCACCGGTTTCTCCTCATGTTGATTTCTAAATTGCAATTCCCTTGGGGCAGAGACCTCTCTCCCCTCCAAATGTCACACCAACTCATAGGAGTGGGGATTAAAAGTATCAGAAATAACAGGAGAGGGAAAGTTGTCATCCTTTGCCCTAAAAAGCTCCCAGTAATTATTGGCTGGCTATGATCCCTCTCTCTGGTGAGAGTAAATGGTACTCCGCTTTTTGTGTACACCTCCTTATCTGATGAAGTGGAGCCAGAGGCCTTTGAGGTGTTGAAACTCGGCCCTGCACACCATCTACCTCTTTCCGAGTGATGGAAAAAGAAGTTCACCATGAGCAGGAAAAATAAGCAGGTCCAGAAACGGCAAAGACGAGCTCGGCGCTCATACGTAAAAGATAATTTGAAAAAACCAGAGTCTTTCGTGTTGGGAAATGGTGGGAGAGGATATTGATAAGAATGCTCAGAAATTGTTCCTATATGCAACAACAGCAGCGAGGTTTTTGCTGGGCCAGGTTTGGAAACAGCATCAACTGCCAACAGTAGACGAGTGGCAGCAGAAGGTTATGGAATACATAAAAATAGCCAAATTAAGAGGGGAAATTCAACAACAGGGCGACGAAACATTTCAAAAAGAATGGGAAAAATTTATGTCATATATAGGAAAGATAAGGTGAAATAGTAAAACCAGTAGAACTGGTATAAACCTCATCATGGGAAAATACAAAGAATATTACGGGACAATAATAAAATGTATAATGTGACCAATGTAACTAACAGTATTTGTAAATGAATATAGACAGACAACAAGAAACGTATATATAGAAAGATTTATTTGTTTACAGACGTTTTATGGACAAATGAGGAAGAAGAACAATAGTATACAAAATGGGTAAAGACAATGCGAAAAAAA